CTTATTCTCTTTCTTTCATATTATGTATTCATTTATTATAAACTGGTATTTAGCATGTCTCTTATAACTGAGCCAGTGCTCTGGTAGGAAAGGTAAAAAAATTGACAGTACAGACTACTAATACAAATAGCACAAATATAAAAGCTTGCTAGTCAAATGTCCAAAACGTTTTAAGTAAGAAAGCATAGTAAGAAAGCATAACATTTGCAAGCACTGGGGTGATGATTCCCTTTACATTGTTTAGAAGTGTTAGTGAAAAATATTGCTAAAGGTTCCTGGTTGGGGTGTGAGTTATTGGGAACAATGCTCTGAAAATGACCTCCAGATGTTGTTGGACAGCAAATATCAACACTCTACACTATGCTGGCTAGGGCTCATGAGAATTATAGTCCAGCAACATCTGGAGGGCTGTACTTTACCCACCCTGATGTAAAATAGATTGTTGGTGAAAGATGCTGACATTCAGGCCCTTTAAAAATACCTTGACTAGCAGCTTGCTCAGAAATTACGATGTTGTTGTGACATGGTAATTACAAAAATTCACATTTATAGTCATTGCACCATTGCAATGACTTGGAAGTATCTCCCAAACCTACCTCTGAAGCCATGCAGCCCTCCACAACAGAGGAATTTTTGAGGTGCTGGAGAGTGCAGTGATGACTGATGAAACTTCCAGCTCTCTCCCACTGGTGGGGCAGGATGCAACAGGAAGCTGACACAACCCCACAGGGGTCCCTGCTGTTCCCTACTGGTACCTCATGCTACCAAGAACTGGACAGATCATCACACACCATCCTGATTTCCAGTGTCTTCAAAATTCCTCTGCATGGGGTGGGGGCTGCATGGCTTCAAAGGCAGTTCCTTTTTTTTGTGTGTGTGTATGCAAAACTAGAGCCTAATAATATAGTGATATTGTAGAAGACTAGATGATTAAGAATACAAATAAACAGTAATACACTTTTAAAATAGGGCTTAAATACTCTAAAGGCACCAGATGCTGCTTGATTTTGGAAGCTAAGCAGGGTTAGTCCTGGTTAGTACTTGGATGGGAGACCACCAATGAATACCTGTGTTGTGGGCTATATTTCAGAGGAAAGAACTGGGAAAACCACCTATGAGTATTCCTTACCTAATTAAACCCTATGAAATTGATGGGTCACCATAAGTCAACAGGTGACTTGAAGACAAGTGCACACACACAAAAAATTTGTAAAAACTACAGTGTGTCTTCAGTACACCAGAAAAGCCTGAGGTGCTCATTTTTTCATATGATAACATCTTCTCTCAATAAAGTAGCTAACATTTCAGGGAGAAGTAGAAGGTATACATGAACAATCTTTCTGCTTTGCTACATGCTCTGTAATTAAGCATACTGGTGTTACATTTTAGATGCTCAATAATAAAGATGCCTTTCCAACATGAAATTCATGAAATCCAACATGTGAATTGCTTGGATAGAAAATATTTGATTAAGCAAGTTACCAACTAATCATGGACCAAATAATAAATCTATTTCTTTTTAAAACAGCACACTGCAATAACACAATAGTAACAGGAGAACTATATAAAACATATGGCTCAGAATCTGGTACATACTTCAGAATGAATTATTCCAACACAAAGGTGTTTTTTTTTAAAGTAAATGTCTTAACTCTCCCTTTGCAAGCAAAACCTTAGAAAAATGGGGGAGAAGAATCTATGAGATTTTGAAAGAACTCCATCTATTACTACCTCTACAAATTAAAGCTCAAATACACCTAAAAAGTCAATGAAATGAATACAAAGGCAGTCTGTGCACAGTGGGAAGCAGCAGCTCTGACACTGCAGAAGTTGGAGGGAGGCATGCAGCATGCCTCTAACATCAGGAACAACATAGCACTGATACCACTCCTGGCACCAGAGGCCATCAGACTGAGAAGTTCTGTAGATTTGCTAGTTGTACTAATGTACAACTGACCTCCACATTGTATTGTTGTATGGGCAGCTTGCATTCAGACTACTACTGAGATAAAACTACTATAAGATTTGCATGACGCCAGTTATTATAAAATGGCTTTGACTGTGATTCTTCACTGACACTTCTGAACAATGCAGAGGGAATCACCATCCCAGTGCTTGCAAATGTTATACTTTCTTAATGTACTACAAAAATGCCAACACACCTAATACTAATATTAATATTAATACTTCAACACACTCATTGATTTTCAACAGCTACAAAGAACTTAATTTTTATTTTACAGCCTTCTGCTTCAAGATTTTCACGTATGCAAGTGTGTGCAGTATAAATCACTTCATCATAGTGCTTGTCCTTCCAAGAATCAGTTTTCCTGATGGCTACCATGACACTCTTCTTTCCAACTGGGAAGGCGTAACTTGCAGCCTCTCCTGACCCCAAAGTTAACAAGAACTGAAAGAGCAGAAGAAAGCTTTCAACTTATTTAGTCTGCAATGAAGTGGGTTAAAACAATAGATGAGTTTCTCCTCCCTTGTCTTCGACTCCTCAGTATCAACATAACGGCCTTTCAACAGCAATCCTTTTATGTCAGATAGGCTGTGACAACTGACGCTGAGGGTCTCCCAACCAGTGACCTTTGTGCCTTTCTTAAAAGTGAATCTCTGGGAATTCAGTTTAGATTTTTATTAATTTCTGCCCTCCTGCTTCTGAAGGAATAGTTACAGTCCACCTCTGTATGTCAACTCTAAAACAGTGGACAAAGTAGCTGATATTCAATGGAACTGCAACTTAACTGGGGCTGGGGGTGGGGAGCAGGGTACACACCGAAGGTGATAGCCTTCAGAGAGGCAAAGCATACTTTTCTGTTCCTTAGTATGGGCACTAAACAAGTCTACCCCAAAACATTCTGCTACCTAGGCAAAGGACAAGGTCATCCCCTCCCCTCCATTTTATGTACAGAAGCTGTCTGAACTAGCAGTTAAATCTTATTTTTAAGGGAGGCATGGCATTGCATCGTACAATTTACATGAAGATAGCAGGCTAGGTACAGGGGGACATGTGGCATACACAACTGTATCTTCCAGTACATTACTCCTACTTCTCATCTCTAGCATCTGCTGTCTGAGGCAGCCACCTCACTCAGCTTAACGGTAGGACTACCCATGGCACTAATAGACCACAGTGATAGCTATAAAACTGAACATGATTTTGTTGAGAAAATGTAAGGTATTGGGGTGGTTAAGCAAAAGGTTTGTCACCTCTTCAAATCTAGTTATGGTTTAGTATGTTATGTTTCAATAGCCCACCTGCTCTAACAAATACTTTGGTTCAAGCAGAATAAAACAAGTAGACCCACAATAATATATATCAATAGGAAATGCTGGTACACAAAGTTTTTACAGACAGGAAGAGATATGAAATATTCCAGGAAAAACAAAGCAAAATAAAAGCTGAAAATGAGTATTTTGAAAAATATTCTTGTAAAGGATTGCCATTTTAATCCTTCAGCACACACTTAAAAAAACACAAAAAACACAAGGTAATATAACATATATTTTAATGTAAGAAATCACTACCAGAGGTGGAGAAGAAAGGAGAATGTATGAGAACAGGTTACTTGATGCATGTGAATACCAGGCTGAAGGTAGAACATTAATTGACAAAAGAAAAGGGGGATCATTTTATCAAAGATATGACGAATGCAATTCTGGGCTAGATGCATGTCCAGAAGAGTTCTCTTACGCATTATACATATGGATTCACTAACTGATGGATATTGATCTAAGTTACACAATAGGGTCAAAAAGTCACATAAGCTGCACATGAGGAAAACCCCTCTAGAAAAACAGGCAGCAGTAAGAAGTGGGATCCTGGAATTCTGAATGTTTTTTTATTTCAGTTATACAAAAGTAAACCACACACTGCTCAGCATCTAGTCACAGTAACATTAAGTGCTGAATTTTTAGTTGCTTCACTGTAAGATTGATTAGGAGATACAGAGTAAGGCAAGATAAGCAAAATGGATATTTCTTCTGGAAAAGAAAAGAAACTAAGGAGTACTGATACAGAATGACAAGGGTGGTCTGAATTGACTAATGTCAGTATGTTTTTGCCAGATTGGTTATGTCTATGAAGAAAATGTTAAACATCTGCTTGCTGCAATGACTGCTTCCTTGGTTTGTTCTCTCCTCTCTCTTCAGCAGACTTCAGAGGTAAAAGATCTGGTGTTTTGTAATTTGTGCAGGTTTCAGGCCCAACTCCAATGGCTTTTGAATTTGCCCTTAAAGCTCTTCACAGCCCAACATCCTAATTCCTTTCCATATGGCAGGTCCCTCATCCTCAGCCTATCAAGTTTATTGCATTGGACCAAAGTTCTTTGCATCTTCCTCAGCCTAAGCATTCAACATCTATTGTATGAATGGCTATTCTTTGAGTCCCCTAAGCATAGGAAATGAAGACAACCATAATAAACAGGATCTAATCCACTACTGTCCTGAAATTGTGAATTACAGGACTACAAACCGCTAGGAGGAGGAGGAGGCTGGGGACTTTTATTGATAGGACTGTAGTATTGCTTTTATCTTAATAGGTACGGCTGCAGTTATTACTTTTGAAAACATTTTGTCTTTTCATAGTACCGGTGTGGTGTGGTATTTTGCATATGGGTGAGTTTCCATTGCTTGAGCTATTGTTCTATGTTGCCTTATTTATTTCACTTAAATGCTGCTTTTATGCACAGTTAAAATACAGGTATACAAACAAACAAAATCCCTAGAGCTTTATATTTTGAATGGTTAATGATACAATCACATACATTATTGTATGTCTCTGGGATAATCAAATAGCAAGCTTTTTTTCTTTAAAAACCCTTACTGTTGTCATTATTGTTGTTGTTGTGTGCCTTCCAAGTCATGTTCTGACTTATGGCAACCCTAAGGTGACTTATTACAGGGTTTTCTTGACAAGATTTGTTCAGAGGGAGTTTGCCTTTGCCCTCCTCTGAGAAAACGTGGCTCGCCCAAGGTCATGTAGTGGGTTTCCATAGCTGAGCAGGGAATCAAACCCTGATCTCCATAGTTGTAGTATAACGCACGAACCACTACATCACACTGGCTCTCCCATATTTTACTCATTATTACATATGTAATTATCATATTGTATGTCACAATGCACTTTATTATCATAAAAGGATGAAAATCAAGTGACAAATTGGCTATAGCAACTATGTACGGAAACAGGGAAGGAATAATTTTATCATTTCCCCTCTACAATTGTGTGTGTGTGTGGATCCATTTATATGTACAGTTGCCTTCTGTTTTTGCGGACTACAAGTCCGTGTCCCACGCCCATTCGTGGCGGAAAATGGAGGGGATAAATGGGCTGTGCACCCATGGATGCACACCCCCATTCAAGTCTATGGGGCTTGAATATTTGTGGTTTTCCATTTTCGTGGGGGGAGGGGTCCAGAACGGAACCCCTGCAAAAACTAAGGGGCAACTGTATATGTACAGTATGTTTTACTTTATATCCTAAATATAATGATTTTGGTTTTAGAGAAGCTTGAAACATAAGCCCTGCTAGAATGCAGCAGCACCAATTCATCTGTAGATTCTTTAGTGAAGACTATGACTGCATTTGGACTGCATAAATAATCCAGTATGACACCACTCTCACTGCCAGGCTCAATGCTATGGCATTTTGGGATTTCTAGTTTTGTGAGATATTTGGCCTTCAAAACTGGATTATTTCTGCAGTGTGGATGCAGCCTACATGACCAAAATGGAACTATAAATGTTCACTACTCATGAGTTCCCTCTATAATACTCTGTGCGCTAGTAACTGCACACTGAAGTCAAACAAAACAGTGCTTAATTTTTGTATATTTTATGTATAAAGATCTGTTCCCATCCACTATTTACAAATTGTTGACTAATTTATAGAATGTCAGTAGTAATATAAGTAAAAATAATCACAGGCATGCATACAGACCAACATATATTTGTTGGAACAAAACCATGATACTTAAACATCAAGACTGCAATGATGCTTTCAGCTGCATCATAAATCCTATATGCACATTCATTGGAAGTAGAACTCCAGCCTGCATTTCAAAGATCACAGATTAAAGCAATCCACTACATTTAAAAGTTGGGCATTTCTCTGAAAAAATGGTGCAGAAGGTTGTTGATTTTGTCCCAGGCCACAGCAGCACAAAAACAACAAAACACAGTAAACATTCAATTAAAACTCAACCTCAATTCCATTTAAAAACAACTGTGAGTAGTCAGGGATATATCAGCACCAAGATTTTTTTTTTACCCAAGACAAAAAGGAAAAAAAAATACCTTCTGCAGTGCCTGAGATACCATCAGTCTTAAAATTGCTTGTGCTTTTCTTCCTGCGATGCTTTTTTCGGTTTGCATGAGGGGAAGGAGGAGGGTCCAGCTTTGGACTTGTGGTACTAGATATACTTGGGCTGGAGCACACAGAATCTCCCAAGCCAGTATCTGTAAACAAGGGTGGAAAACATGAGGAAATGTATATTTTGGTTTTAAATAAAAATCAGCAAGCGAGCAGTGCTGTATTTGACAAAGCATTCAATTAAAAAATGTTCAACTTTTTCTCTTCCAGAAATCTTCAATATTTATGTTCAGAAATCTGAAAGTCTCAACTTTGCCATCTAAGTTCATGAGTCAACAACACAATTTGAATAAACACAACTAAAATAAATAAACATCGACAGATGGCAGCATTCAATGGATCTGAAGGGAATCTCCTATGACTACCTTCAACACTTGTCAAAACTGGTAACTACTACAAGTTATTATTGTTGTTGTTGTTGTGTGCTTTCAGGTTAGTTCAAACTTATGATGACTCTAAACAAAACCTAACACATGGTTTTCTTGGCAAGATTTGTTTTAGAGAGGGATTGCTACTGCATTCCTCTAAGCTGACAGTATGACTTGATCAAGGTCACACACTGGGTTTCCATGGCTGAGCAAGGATTTGATCCCTGGTCTTCCAGAGTCCTAATCCAACACTGAAACCACTCCATTATGCTGTCTGACAATATCTGAGCATATGGAAGCTGTTGTGTGAATTTGTCTCTCATTTTGTTATTCATTTTATTGTTGCTCACAACATTCCAGCTAGTCATCATCTCATTCTCCATTCACTAACTTCTTCATGGTTGCTTCCTGGGTCTCTTCCCTGCCCACTGGCATGAATACCCAAAGAATCCAAGGGTGGGACCCCGAAAACATTATGTCAAGACAACAGAGCATTGCTATTGTTAGAACAGGGATGGGTTTGTGACAGGAGTGAGAGCCAAGTTTGGACTCCTGCACCTTTGCTGGATTTCCTTTATGTTTTGCTTACTCTTGGCCACTGTCTTCAAGCTTGGGAAGGTTTGGGGAAGGTAAAGAGATGTAAAATAGGTAAAACTGTCATGTTTCAGAGCATCTGGGGTGATTTCCACCTGCTTTTTTAAAGGGAGGAACTCTGACAGGGGAGGGCTAAAAGACAGGCTGGGCCAATGGTTTGCCCATCTCATGTTAAAAGCATACTAATTCTATTCTTTTTCATTTGCTCCAGCTTCTTTAAAAACATAGTAGCTGGCCAGGAGGGGATTTGTGGGTCAAAATGTAGAAAGAAGACTGTGATGCCAATGACTCCCATCCCATTCTGGGAGCATATTTTCTAAAGCAATTGAACCAGCTTGGATGGGAAACAGATCTGTGCTCTAGCAGATATTACGTTCTGCTCCCTAGATTTAGTTGGTACCTTCTACTGCTACAGAAGTTTGCTGTTGTCTTTTCAAAGCTGGATTGGCTTTTTAAAAAACTTCTTCTTCTTCTTTTAACATCAGGGTGGCAATTAACACCTTGCAATTTTGATGCAGAACTAGAGATGGCCTGATTATGGGCAAGGGAACAATGACCCTCACTTCTGCCCTAGCTAACCCACAATCCCCAGATGTTTAGACCTCAAGTAAGTAAGTGGGAAACAAAAACTGTTGCTTGCTTTCATCCTCCTTCTTTACCTGCCATTTATCATTTTCTGGCAGTAGCTCAACAGAAAGCAAGTGCAACTCAGTTGAAGGTGGTAGATGAATGAGGGAAGACTATTTCCCATCAGGGAATTTACTTGCTGTTGCCCAGGTTGATGCTGATGATTTCATTTTCGACTGGAAGGAAACAAAGGTCTAAGCAGAAACACTCATTGCTCCTTAAAATTTATTCCATGTAGAATGAACCAAAATCAGGACACTGTGGCTCCCAAGGAACACTCTTGTGTGCCAATGGTAGCTGCTGGCTCCCATGCAAGTGGGACAGTGAAGTTTTTAAAATTAACTTTAAAGGAGCTAACCAAGGTGCTGAACCTATTTGGCAGGTTGGGGCCTGCCCCTCTGAAGTTCAGACTATAAAGTAAAGCAGCCCCATGGACATCAGCTACACCTGCACTCAAACTGTGGCTTCCTTTTTTTATGTACTTTGTTGCTGGTGTAGCAGGCAAATGTGAGGAAAAATAAACGTTTTCATGTCTTTAGTTTTTTGTGGGTTTTTTGGGCTGTGTGGCCATGTTCTAGAAGAGTTTCTTTCTCATGTCTTGTTGGGATCAATCACACTCAAATTCCTTTTTGTAGTCATAATGTATAATAAACAAATACCACTTTGGGCCCTATGTTGGGAGAAAGGTAGGACATAAAAATCAAATCAAAGAAATAATCCCTACCCCTCCCCTCCATTTGAGAAACAGGTTGCTATTGGTTGAAAATGCTTCTCACTCCCACCCAAAACACTCTGCTCTACAGGTAGTACATTATAGTGATTATGTCCAATTTCCTCTTGTGTAATGGGCTATTTCTAAAAAAGTAGCATTCTCTGTATGATATTGCCACATGCACAGGCTGAGCTGAGTGAGGACTGATTTAGTCCTAATTTTCACCCATGAGCAAAATGTGGGTTTTCAAACAGATTGCAGTTGGGAACTTACACAATGAAATGCTCCTCCATAAAACCCTTATTTGACACAGAAAAGTGCAAAGTCAGGAAGAAGGCTAGGTTATTTGGTTTTGTACAGCGTGTACATCTACGGTGCTTAATAAATAAAGCTAATAATAATAATAATAGTTAGGACCTCAGCTCTTTACTTGGCACCTGGTTATCTATGTTGCAGGATTCTTTAGCATGAAGAAGCATTCCACTGACCATCTTCTAGTGCTGGTCTCAAATTCCTAAGCCCAAAACATACTTTACATGAATATTTTACTTTTTTTCCTCATGCCCAAAAGTTTATATTGGCCTTGCAATAAAATTACCGTAAAGAGGACAGCACACAAACACTTTTACCACTCCAGTGCTCCTATATTTCTATGTTCATCTCTATTTCTATCTTCACAGACTAAAAGTAGTATATCTCTTTTGAGAGGGAGGGATCATTTTCTCTGTGAAGAGTCCCCAAATGCTTGGCTAAAGCTGGGTTCTACTTGTGGAGGTGCTAGTGTATACAGATCTACTTCAGGATATCCTGAACTGAGCCTGGGAGCCATTACCAGTTCTGTTGGTTATATAAGAGACTCTGTGAGCAGGAGAAGAACATTGTTGCTTTTGAATTGAGCAGAGTCACACTGTGTGAGCTGAGGAATTGTTATATACATCTTTTGAATACTTGCAGGCCACTGAGGAAGACTGTAGTCAAAACGTGTCTGGCCTTGAGTTTACTAATTACTATTATTATATTATTTTATTTTGTGCATTTGCACACTTTTCAGTGGGGTATTGTTACCCTTTTAGGAATTTTACTGGCTTATCTACTTCAGGGTTCAATTTTTTTTTTTGGCCTTGAGTTTTGAAATTTTTATTATCATTATAATATTTATTTTTTGCATTTGCATACTTTTCAGTGGGGTATTTTTACCTTTTTAGAAATTGTACTGGCTTTTCCAGGGTTTAGTTATTCCTTTATTTCTTCATATTATTGCCTTTCTGTAATTGGAAGTGGGATTATTTTATCCACAGTGGTTTTTTTTGGCAGAACCCTTCAGTTTGGTTTTTTGATCATATACCTTGGGTTTCTGGCTTTAGGGACTTTTGTTGGTTTTCTGTATACCCT